ATTTTTGGCGCGCATGTGTAGGAAGCCTTTTACCCCCACACAATTCACCTCTTTAAAGGATTCTCAGGGGATACTTAAACAATCATCGGAAGAGATTATATCTATTCTGGAAAGTTTTTACGCAAATTTATATGGGCCGGACCCTATAGACCAGGCACGGGCGCACTCCTTTCTTGACAGCGTACATCTACCACAAATTGATCCAATAGCACTGCAATCTTTAAATGCCCCGATATCGCAGGCGGATATTTGTTTAGCTATTAGTTCCTTAGCCAATGGTAAAGCTCCAGGCCCGGACGGGTACACTTCTGAATTTTATAAACTTATGGATAAAACTCTCTCTCCTACTCTACAGCTGGTATATCAGTCTATTCAGGAGAGCGGGGTATATCTGCCATCAGCTTCGCAGGCCCACATTAAATTAATAGCCAAAAAAGGCAAGGACCCCTCGGACCCTGGTTCTTATCGACCGATTTCTCTCCTTAATCTAGATGCAAAGATTCTCTCCAAAATAGTAGCTAATCGTTTGGCCATCATTTTGCCCACCCTTATTCATCCTTCTCAAGCTGGCTTTATAAAGGGGCGCTCGGCCACCTCACCTCAAATATTCGCAAAGTGCTCACAGTTTTACATCAGGCTAAACATAACCCATTACAGGATCTAGCGATTGTTTCCCTCGACGCTGAAAAAGCGTTTGACAATGTAAGTTTTCAATGGCTTTATTCGGTCCTCACTAAATTTGGCTTTTCCGGTCCGTTCACGCGTTTAATTCAGGCTATGTATTCCGCCCCGACGGCGCAGGTAGTGGCGGCGGGGAAAATATCCAATCCCATTCCATTACATAAGGGTACAAGACAAGGCTGCCCATTGTCCCCCCTGCTTTTCAACTTAGCTTTAGAACCCTTAGCCCGCTTCCTGTTGTTTCAATCACGACTCCATGGCATTCAAATTGCCCAACAGGATCTTCGTCTAGCTTTAATTTGCGGACGACATACTAATATTCACCTCCAACCCGACTCTAGACTTACCGTACATTCAATCCGTTTTCGCAGATTTTCGATGCTGCTCGGGCCTCCGTATTAATTTTGCGAAAAGTGAGGTTCTGCCGTTGTATCACGCTCGACTCCCTGAGTGGGCTGGCGACTCACTCTTTAAAATTAATACGAACCATATCACTTATCTAGGTATTAAAATTGGGAAATTGGCCTCGTCCCTTTATTCTCTGAACTATTCACCAGTAATTCAAAAAATTTTAGGGGAATTGGAAATGTGGAAAGAACTGCCATTATCACTTATGGGTAGAGTCCATCTCTTCAAGATGACGAGTTTTCCGAAGCTTCTGTATCCTCTTCAAACTATTCCTCTCCTGCTCAAACATACGGATATAGTCAGGCTGAATAAAGCGATTTCTAGTTTCTTATGGAGGGGGCGCCGTCCGCGAATAGCTATACATAAGTTGTTTCTTCCTAGATGTGAGGGTGGTCTGGGCCTTCCTAACATTAGGCTTTACAACCTATCTTGTATTTTACGGGTGTGTGTAGATTGATTGGATCTCCCGTTCGTCCGTGTTTTCTAATTACCGACTCGAATCTGCCATGGTGAGCCCATATGATCTGTCGGCCCTCCTACATTCTAATTCTGCCTCACTTCCTCCGCATCTTCAACACAATCCACTCATACGGGACACCCTCTTCACATGGAGGGAGGTCAGACGTAGACTAGGAGTTTCTCCCTGGCTGTCTCGATATCTTCTATCCATCACAATCCTTCCTTTTCTGTCTCTCAACAGTATGCAGCTTATGAAAAGTGGTATGACCAGGGTCTTAGATTTGTAAGTCAGTTGTATGACTCAGCATCAGGATCCCCCCTTCCGTTCCAACAAATTCTCAGCGCGTTTGACTTACCTTCACATCATTTTTTGTATATTTTGCAAGTTAGGAATTATGTGAATTCCATAGTACAAAATAAGTCTTCTCGCTTTTGTTCTCTACTATGATAGAAGTCCTTGTAAGGAATCAAAAATACACAACATATCCAATATCTATGGTCAACTATCTATGCACTATGCAAAACCGCTGGATTCTTATACTTCCATCAAAACGTGGATACGAGACTTTGACAATGCCTTCACCGCGGAGCAATTGCTCACAGGTTTTAATACTACCTGTGCGTTCAATACGAACAAATTTTGGAGGGAGCAGCAATTCAAAATTATGCACCATGCATATATGCCTTGCCTGTACTCCCGAGCAGACTCATTGATCTCTACATGCCCGCTCTGTGGTTCATATAAACCGTCACTTCATCACAGATTCTGGAATTGTCCACGGGTCTGTATCTTTTGGAACCAACTTTTGAATTTTGTGCTTTTCGTCACTACTCTCCAGTTACCTAGGGACCCGCTGCTTCTTCTCTTTGGCAATCTGGAAATATCAGTGTCTGCTGCCTCACACTGCAATCTTGCTTTGTTCAGAGCAACCAAACCTTGGCTATCCATTTGCTTGATGGCGGCGAGAAGGTCTATTTTGAAAAAATGGGTCTCCAACTGTCCTCCTACCATCTCAGACGTCAAATTGGAACTCAACTTTCTACTTCGATTGGATCGGCTTGGTCTGCATATAGCTCCTTCTACAACAGGAGTGGAAAAGTTCAACCGCAAGTGGGGTCAATATGTTTCAAAAGTTCTCCCAAGTCCTGAGCCCCAGCACCCTTCTCATGGTTCTCTAAGCTAGATTTAAGCTAGTTTTCAGGGTATTCCTGATGCATGGTGTTTCTATTGCTCAAGGGGTCAAATGATTGCAACATTATAAATGCTGTGTACCTCTCAGAAATCTCTTTTGTTCTCGCTTTGCTCCACTCCCACTTCGCCAATCTGGCTTATTAATCTCTCTCTCATTTTTTCCTGGCGGACCTATATGAAGTGGTCCCCTACTAGCACATCTTTATACATACTGATGCGCTGCTTCTCACTATACTTTAATATCTCATTATACTTTACTATCTTATTACTTTATCAGTCTATTACTTTTTTATCCTAATCTCTTTATCCTGGCTTGTTTTCATGGTCCTCTGGCCTCAGACTTTTGGTACATAACTTCTTGTACTCCAGTTCTCCTTTTTTTCTTTCCCTTTTGGCATATTCTTTATATGCTGGCTTTTCCAACTCTCTGGTCTTATGTCCCTACTGCTCTATCTCTATCCTATATTTTTACTTTCTTTTTTCCTTTTTTAATTCGCATGCACGATGACCTCCCTATCGGTCGATATGACAAATGGTTAACATTGCTCACGTCGCTTATTCTTTTGCTTTACGTATGTTTATATATATATATGTGATTTTTTCGAAATCCTGCATACTTTAACTTCAAGCCCTTGTACCCTGACATATTACATGTGCTATATTTTCCCATAGATACTCTTCATTCCAAACTTCTTCATTCCCTCTCGGATTCTTTCGGGGCTTCTGTAATATGTTTATGAGTAAATTGTTATCCTGGAATTTATTCATCTGTTTTGGCATGTTGCCACGCTATGAATACTGACAAACCTCATCGTTGGTTATTTTGTGTGTACAATAAAACCCAATAAAGCTTCTTTTAAAAAAAAAAAAGAATGAACTTCAGACCTCTGGATCAGCCATCCTGGCAGCCATAAAATCCTGTAAGGAATCATTCACTAGCCAGACTGATTTACCCTCTACAAACATTAGCTTTTTCAGGCATGATCTTGAGAATTCCCTCAGTGGCCTTGCAACCAGTGCACAATAGCTGTACCTACAAGGCCCTAAATAGGAGATCAAACAACTTCAATAAAGAGTCATCAGTAATAAAAATAGGCTTAGCAGAAACCGCCTTCAGATTCTGAGTTTTCCTGAGACAGTTGAAGGCCTTCAACCAGCTGTTTTTGCTGAAATTCTCATCAATTTCTGCTTTGCTTCCTTGATTACAGAAACAGACACATAATCTTAGTGGAGAAGACTAAACGTTGTAGATGGACACCACTAAGTTTTTTCAATACTTTGGAGGATGTGATGTCTTGGCTGGATGGCCCGCTCTCTTTCTCCAGTAACCTCAAGTATGCTACACAACATCTCCTGCCAGATTTAACCACTTTTTTGAACTGAGGAATACTGACTAGACTTATACACTATATTGCCAAAGGTATTGGGACACCTGCCTTTACACACAAATTAACTTTAATGGCATCCTAGTCGTAGTCCATAGGGTTCAATATTGAGTTGGCCTACCCTTTATAGTTATAACCGCTTCAACTCTTCTGGGAAGGTTGTCCACAAGCTGTCCATAAGTTGTAGGAGTGTGTCTATGGGAATGTTTGACCCTTCTTCTAGAAGTGCATTTGTGAGGTCAAGCACTGATGTCGGACAAGAAGTCCTGGCTTGCAGTCTCCACTCTAATTCATCCCAAGGTGTCCTATTGGTTTGAGGTCAGGACTAGGCCAGTCAAGTTCCTCCACCCCAAACTCGCTCATCCATATCTTTATGGAGCTTGCTTTGTGCACTGGTGCGCAGTCATGTTGGAACAGGAAGGGGCCATCCCTAAACTGTTCCCACAAAGTTGGAAACATGAAATTGTCCAAAATGTCTTGGTATGCTGATGTCTTTAGAGTTCCCTTTACTGGAACTAAGGGGCCACAGCTAACCCCTGAAAAACAACCCCACACCATAATCCCCCCTCCACCAAACTTTACACTTGGCACAATGCAATAAGGCAAGTACCATTCTCCTGGCAACCGCCAGACCCAGATACATCCATTAGAATGCCAGACAGAGAAGCGTGATTTGTCACTCCAGAGAATACATCTTCAATGCTCTAGAGTACAGTGGCAGCATGCATTACACCACTGCATCTGATGCTTTGCTTTGCACTTGGTGATGTAAGGCTTAGATGCAGCTGCTCAGCCATAGAAACCCATTCCATGAAGCTCTCTACGCACTTTTGTTGTGCTAATCTGAAGGCCACATGAATTCTGGAGGTCTTTAGCTATTGACTCTTCAACAGTTGGTGATTTCTGCGCACTGTGCGCTTCAGCAAGCGCTGACCCCGCTCTGTCATTTTACGTGGCCTACCACTTTGTGGCTGAGTTGCTGTTGTTCCCAGTTGCTTCCACTTTGTTATAATACCACTAACAGGTGACCATGGAATATTTAGTAGCAAGGAAATTTCACGGATGGATTTATTGCCCAAGTGGCAACCTATCACGGTACCACGCTTGAATTCAGTGAGCTCCTGAGAGCCACCCATTCTTTCAAAAATATTTGTAGAAGCAGTCTGCATGCCTATATGCTTGATTTTATGCACCTATGGCCATGGAGGTGATTGGAACACTTGAATCCAATGATTTGGAGAGGTGTCCCAATACTTTTGGCAATATACTAAAGTGTATCTAAGCAGATGCCCCAATATGGAACTTTACAGCTGTTATTTTTCTCCTATGTTGAGAGATTAAGAATATAGGGGTCAATTCCCTAAAGGTAACAAAATGTCCAATTCCCAAAAAAAAAGATTCTGCGGTATTTAACGCAAAATTAAAAATGTGCCGGTAAATAATGCAAAAAAAAAAATGCAGTAAACTGTTAAGTCTAACTCACAAACAGAACAGAAAGTAAAAAAATATGTTGTATTTTATCACCAGGGTTTTGCTGGCGGTATCACGTGCATTTTTTTTTTTCAGATGCAACCCCTAGGGATCTGGAATGGATATTAAGGGGAACCCCATGTCAAAATTTAAAGAAAAACGGCAAGGGGTCCCTCCACATGCCATTTTTTTTTTTTCAGTTTGGTGCGGTGTTCCCCCAAAATCCATACCAGACCTAAGGGCCATTTTTTTTTTAAATTGTGGTGTGGGTTTTTCCTTAAAATGAGGAGGAAGCCCCACACAGTTTTTTCATCATTTTTAACTGCTGGTATGTTTTGTTTTACATTCAGCTGTCAGTGGGACACCTGCTGACAGCTGATGAGTCATCCGTTGTTAAAGATGCCGCAACATTCTTCATCTGGATCTGCTGCAACATATGCAGCTTCAAATGATAGGGGGGGAACTCTGACAAGGAGTTTTAGGGGCTTACCTTATAGCACACTAGGCAGGGAAGAAGATCAGCATGGGGCCATGCTGAGAAGGGTACAGTGCAGGCTTGAACCTCACCATAACTTTCCTATCCCCACCCACTTTCTCCAGTAGTATCTTTGGTCAGGCCAATGTCTTTTCTGCAGCTGTTGGAGTTTAACAAAAAAGTGTACCTCAGTCTAGCATAGTTTGGCAAAAATTGCTATCTTTTACAGTTGCTCCCATGCAGCTGGTGGATTTGACCTTTTTATCATGAGTTTATGGCTTGTGCTGTGCCATGGTGGTAGGTACCTAACCACTATTTTGTACCCAGAAGGACATCCCTTCCCTTGAATAGAATGTAGAAGGCACTGTCTCAGTGTCACTGGACCACCTGGTCAGTGGCAGAACCCACAGCTGCAAACATGTGATCCAGCAAGCATGGACAGGGATGTTACATCTGCACTGGGTAAATTTGCTGATGGCTGAGAAGGACGCAGGACAGAGCACACAGCTTGTGGGTAGTGCCGCCCTGTGTCCTGAGCCTTGATGATGGTGACACCACTGTCAACTCTACTCCTCAATGGCTTCATCCAGTAAATCCTCATAACCAGCAACCCCCCCCCCCCCCCCCCCCCAAAAAGCAACCAAGAGCCTTTGCAATAGAACAGGCAAAATGCAGCCCACATTGCTGCCCATTGAAAGTGTATATTGTAAATAACAGTCAGCAATCCAAGAGGTGGCATACATTTCCTGTTATGTATTATTTGTGAACCAAATTTTTTTTTTTAATTTTTTTCTCTCTTTGCTGGAGGTCATCTTTAAATGTAATTCACATCTTGACTTCAATTTACTATGGGTGACATACTAAATACAGGGGTTAGTGTTGTGGAACATTACAGACCTGTGTTCTAAATTCTAAAGAGCCCTGATTTTTCAGTACATATTAACCTTTACCTCTCATATCCTTCTAGTGCAGGAAACCCCTTTTTATGGGTTTTATGAGTCCTGTTTTTAATCACTTGAATACCAGCCTCAAATCCCTTTTTTACCAAGCAATTAATCAGTTTTCAGTGCTGTGATACTGTAACTGGTAATTACTGAAGATGAGGCATTTCTTCAGATGGAAAACTGGCTGATTTTCAAGTTTTACCTCTGTGCGGGAGTTTACCTTTAAGCACAATTAGACCTTTTATGACGTTGAGGTCCATACTTCTTTTGGTGGCAGTTGGTGATATCAGGGGGGAGTTTAATTTTTACTGAGGTTTTTAGATTGCATGTGACATTTTAATTTATGAAGATTTTCACATGGGGCATTTGGATTGCATTATGATTATAGCATACTTTTTTGGGATTATCTCATGATGTTATATATTTAGTTTAATAGACTGCTAGCAGTGTCACTGAATCCTCCTAAAGGTAGTGCAGCATATTGCATGGGTCATAGAATTTTATCTTTCATTGGGATATTGTGCAATCTGACTCCTTGGGGGGTGTTGATTAGATGCACTAGGTCCAGAAATTGTTGTAGTGCTTTTATCCCCCAAATTAGATGGATCCAACTTCACTAAAACCACTCCCAATAATCTTTCCAACTGGGTTCTGGCAGCCTATTTTACAGGGGACTGGAAAAAGAAATATTCCACTGACAGAGCCTTTTTATTGTACCCCTGCACATATAAGACAACCCCTTGCAAAGATATGGTGTTTGTTAAGCAAATTTTCTTACTTTACATAATTGATGTCTATTTTTTACCATCGTGACTGCCAAATCACTCCCCACTGGAATTGATTATTCAGGCCCCCCAAACAAAAAAACTAGTGTGAACAAACATCTGGCTGCATATTTCATAATGATTTCCCTTATACTTGAATTTTGGCCCCTTAATAATACTACATCTTCAGATATGGCGGAGGATACTAAAACCCCACCACAGACACATTTGATGAGCTAGCTGATGTCAGCTAGGAGAAATCTTAATTTTGGACCTTACTAAGTCACCAAAGTTGATCTATTTTAAGTAGACAAGTTGTCTTTGAACAAGTTGATAAAAAAAACTGCAGACTTTGACTTCTGCTCACCCATACTAACAATCCTATAACAGCATTACCCCAAATATTCACCAGTGATGGACTGGTAGGTATTGAGCCTACAGATATTCTCAATACCTTTCCACAATTCTGCATGACTCTATACCACTATTTTACCTTCTCAGTAGGACCAGTTACAATCCGTTTACTTGATACTGTTGTACTGGGTTGGTCATTTTACTTAGAATGAGACTATAGAATATGAGATTCTATTTTGCCCATCAAATCCTTTCCTGCTGGGAAGGCCCAGTGGCTATACTTGCTATACTTGCTCTGAACTTACAAGCCTTGTTCCACTACTATCTTAATCACTACATCATACTTCCTTATGAGTCCTTATACACAAACCTCCTAAGGATCTCACCCTATGTTCACACAGACCTATAGGCACAATCATAGATCCAGGCCAAAATTGATTAAGTTCTCTAAAATCAACCGGTAATATTATCTGGTGACTCTTTGCTAACATTTATGCAACTCACATTAAACACAAGTAATTGGTCTGTGGCCTCTCTCAATATAAGGAATGCATTTAACATAGTGGCAAGGCCCATTCTTAGGAAATGGTGTGTAGGATTAATTTTCGGGAGTGAGTTTTTTTGGTTGGATTGAGTTGTGCACATGCTATTTAGGCTATTTATGCACAATTATTTGCACGGGTGACTTTGTATTTTCCTTGTATATTCCAACATATTGGAGCACAAGGCAGGGATGCCCTCTCTCCCCAGTGTTTTTTGTGATTGAGAGGGTAGTCCTATAAGCGGATGATCTGTTGTGGTTCCTATATTATTTTGGTCCTTAACTGCAGGGTGTCCTGCAGGTCTTCACCTTCTACTCTAAAATTTCAGGTCTGAGGTTAAACTGGAACAAATCATTGCACATAAAGCTGGCAACTCTATACAAATGCAATGGATTTTTAAACCAAATTAAGGATTGAAGCCCCTTGCTATGAATGTTCTACACTAACTAGACCCACTGACCAGGTAGGTCTGGCTTTGCCAGACTTCCAAACTATTACATAGCTACTCAACTGATGACTTCTCACTGGTGGCTTAGCTTAGAAACCACTTTATGATTTACTTTGGGCAACCCCTCTTCAGCTCTTGAAGCCTCTATCATTGGTTCAATAGAAAGACTTAAAGTGATCGTAAAAGATATTTTAGAATAACAAACATGTTATACTTACCTGTTCTGTGCAATGGTTTTGCACAGAGCAGCCTCGATGGTCCTCTTCTTGGATACCCCTCCAGAACTCCTGGCTATCCACCGCACTGAGTGCCTCCATAGCAAGCAGCTTGCTACGGGGGCACTCTTGTGGGCTTGCTTCTGAGCCAGCTCTGTGTGTCTATTCAATAAAAAACAATTCACTAGGTGGGCTGTAGGATGACCCAACTTTACAATAAAGAAGGCATCATCACTGTATAAAGCACATCACTATATTTAGAAAAAGTGGGACTTTGGATATGTTCAGTAGTGAACTCAACAATGACAATTAAATATAAAAGAAATGTTATTTATGTTTGATAAAATAAATCTTACATGCAAATTTTTTAAAAATTACATAATTGTTGTACAGAAGATTGTATGTCTTGAGATCCACAGTCAATGCGTTTCGTGGGAATTCTAACTTCTTCAGAACTTGTCCGGTCTCACATATACATCAGAAAAATTATTAAAAACAATACAATTGTAAAAAAATCATAATCACAACGATTAAATTATCTTGTATTTCAAAGAAACAGATACATCATAAATATACAAGTTCACTCAACATTTACAGTAGACAATTAGAGGAGGAAGAAAAAAGGGGGAGGTCGAGAGAAAAACATGAAAACACACCACTCTTCTATACTACATATATGCAAGCACATCAAGCTCCCCACCTATCTGTGTATTTTATTAAACATGTAATAAAAATAATTGCTTTTACATTTAATTGTCAAGTTCACTACTGTAGGCATATTCAAAGTCCCAGTTTTTCTAAATATAGTAATGTGTTCTGTGTGTCCATAAGACACACAGAGCATGGCTTAACCTGGCCCCCGCTCCCTCCTCATTGGCTGTGATTGACAGCATCTGCTGTGTCTGAGCCAATGATGAGGGAGAGAGTCTCATGTTGTATAATGGATTTTCTTATGTCTT